TTGTTCTTTATGATTGTTTCAATTTGCCCTGTACTGAAGTGGGGCTCACTGGCCTGTAGTTGCCAGGGTCACCTCTGGAGCCCTTTTTAAAAATTTGGCATCACATTAGCTATCCTCCAGTCATTTGGTACAGAAGCTGATTTAAATGATAGGTTACAGATGACAGTTAGTAGTCCTGCAATTTCACATTTGAGTTCCTTCAAAACTCTTGGGTGAATACCTGTTGGATCATATTAAAGAAGTTCTGTATTAAAATCACAAATGAGTTTGATTCCCCATAGTTTAAATTCCAGGGTATTACTAATTAAGAGCTCTCTTGGTTTTTGGTACTGTTTCTCTCCCTCTATGTGTGACACTTGCAAGCTGCTAATTGTGTTAGTACATTCTAAGACAGAGTCTATTCTCAAAGCAATTCACAGAGAGAGAGACTCAAAGCAATACTCTAACAACAGAAACAGCACCCAGAGACTCCCCACCCTTTTGTTGTATTAACAATTGTGATTAAAATAGAGATAGAGGATGTATGTGGATGGATGCTTGGTGTGGATAATAACTGAATGATCAGGGAGGTGCCAGCCTAAGAATCCAGTGTCCATCGGCTGAAGAAGGCGTCAAGTGGAAATAACCAGAGGACCCCCCGGAGGGCAGACTGGAATCCACCCAACAGCCTCAAGGATGGGAGAACCAAAGAACAAGATAACATCTTGGAGCCGTCAGGAATGTGCTATCTGCTGATTGATTCAGCAACAGCATGATGAAGCAATTCCCATAGACTGGCATAGGAAGAAATTCCTATAAAAATAGACTCTAAAAAGTGAGAACTTTGGGGGTCTGATTCTGCAAACCAACTTCCAGGAGCATCAGATGAGCATCTGACAAGGCCCTGCTCCCTCCTCATGTCCAGGCCACTTGGCCAGTGGCTTGGCATGAGCAACTCTAAGGCTGGTAACTATGATAACAACCTTGCAGAACCTGTGTGTGTGGGTGTGTATGTGTGTGTTTGTATGAATGAATGTGTGAATAAATATGAGATTGAATGGAATGTTATAGCTATAACTAACTGCTTACTATGATTCTTTCTGTATTCACAATAAATGTGGTATTTTGCCTTTTTCCCTTTAATAAGATCCTGCTGGTTTTTATTTTATTGGTACAACATACCATCAGGCCCTGGAGACTTATTGCTGTTTAGTTTATCAATTTGTTCCAAAACCTCCTTCAATGACACCTCAATTTGGGACAGTTCCTCAGATCTGTCACCCAAAAAGGATGGCTTAGGTTTGGGAATCTCCCTCACGTCCTCAACAGTGAACACCAATGCAGAGAATTCATTTAGTTTCTCCACAATGGCCTTATTGTCTTTGAGTGCTGCTTTAGCATCTTGATCGTCCAGTGGCCCCACTACTTGTTTAGCAGGCTTTCTGCTTCTGATGTATTAAAAAAAAAATTTGCTATTACTTTTGGAGTCTTTGGCTAGCTGTTCTTAAATTCTTTTTTGGTCTTTCTAATTATATTTTTACACTTCATTTGCCAGAGTTTATGCTCTTTTCTATTTTCTTCATTAGGATTTATCTTCCACTTTTTAAAGGATGCCTTTTTGCCTCTCACTGCTTCTTTTACTTGTTTAACCACGATGGTAGTTTTTTTGGTTCTCTTATTATGTTTTTTTAAATTGGGGAATACATTTAAGTTGAACCTCTATTATGGTGTCTTTAAAAAGTTTCCACGCAGCTTGCAGGGATTTTACTTTTTGGTACTGTACGTTTTAATTTCTGTTTCACGTACCTCCTCATTTTTGTGTAGTTCCCCTTTCTGAAATTAAATGCGACAGTGTTGGGCTGCTGTGGAGTTTTCCCCGCCACAGGGATGTTAAATTTAATTATATTATGGTCACTATTACCAAGCGGTCAAGTTATATTCATCTCTTGGACCAGATCCTGTGCTCCACTTAGCACTAAATCAAGAATTGCCTCTCCTCTTGTGGGTTCCAGGACTAGCTGCTCCAAGAAGCAGTCATTTAAGGTGTCAGGAAACTTTGTCTCAGGATCCCTTCCTAAGGTGATATGTACCCAGTCAATATGGGGTAGTTGAAATCCCCCATCATTATTATTATTATTGAGTTTTTTATTTTAATAGCCTCTCTAATCTCCCTGAGCATTTCAGAGTCACTAACACCATCCTGATCAGGTGGTCTGTTATATAGCCCTACTGCTATATTCTTATTTTTCAAGTATGGAATTACTATCCATAGAGATTCTGTAGTACAATTTAGTTCACTTAAGATTTTTACTTCATTTGATTCTACGCTTTCTTTCACATACAGTGCCACTCCCCCACCAGCACGACCTGTTCTGTCCTCCTGATATATTTTGTGTCCTGGAATTACTGTGTCCTATTGATTAGCCTCATTCCACCAGGTTTCTGTGATGCCTATTATATCAATATCCTCATTTAATACTAGGCACTCTAGTTCACCCATCTTCTTATTTAGACATATAAGCATTTTAAAAACTTGTCATTTTTTGGCTGTCCCCTATTGCATGATATAACTGAATGGGACTTTTTTTTTCATTTGACTGTTTCTAATCAGATCCTCCCTGTATTTTATCATTTTCCATCCTCTCCTCCTTATTAGGATATAGGGAATCTCCATTTATAGATCCTCCCCTAAGGAATGTCTGAATCACATGTTCCTCCACACCTGTTGGCTTCCCCCCCCAGCCCTTAGTTTAAAAACTGTTCTACGACCTTTTTAATTTTAAGCGCCAGCAATCTGGTTCCATTTTGGTTTAGGGTGGAGCCCATCCTTCCTGTATAGGCTCCCTCTCTCCCACAAGCTTCCCCAATCTAAACCCCTCCTCCGTACACTATTGTCTCATCCATGCATTGAGACCCTGCAGTTCTGCCTGTCTAACTGGCCCTGCGCGTGGAACTGGAAGCATTTCAGAGAATGCGACCATGGAGGTCCTGGACTTCAATCTCTTACCTAACAGCCTAAATTTGGCCTCCAGGACCTCTCTCCTACCCTTCCCCACTCAGATCATGGTCCACAAGCAGGTCTGCATTAAAGAAATTCCACTTCACTTTTCTTGCCTTATTGAGTGCTTATTTTGCACAAAACACAGCATTCTACATGGTGGAATTTTTTTTTTCTTTTTTAATTTTTTAATTTTTATTTAAAAGATTCCTCGGAAGCTCCATTTAAAATTAATATTAAAGTTGAAAAAGAAACCAATGCCAAAGTTAAGGAAATGCCAAAGTTAAGATTCCTCAAGCAACATTAACTCTACTCTCTTTTTTTGTGTGTGTGTACTTTGCACCCCTAACCTGATCTTGGTGACCTTTGTTTAGAAATTTGGCATTATTATCCATATGTGAAGAGAATGCCTAGATGCTTAAGAAACACTATTATGCAAGTAGGAGAACATAAAATGTATTGCTGATAAAATAGGCTTTGCAATATGCTTGAAGCCTAGTGGTGGGCGGTTATGGATTAGTTTATAAATGATACGTTAAGGGTGTATTTTTGACTAATGTATAATCTAACTGCCAAATGCAAGTAGAAAATACTAAAGATTAAGTATACTAGGCATTCTGTAGGTAGAAAGGTTAAGAATTAGAATGAGACCTAGCTGAGGCCCTTGTTTTTAGAATAGGTTAGCCTACGTACTTGCCCTAAGGTTATAAAATTTAGCAATATCTGCTTGGCACAAATAAGTAAACCACAAAAGAATGAGTACATTGCCAGCTGCACAAATAGGTTTAAAACAGTGGATTTTTAGGTACTTTCTGCAGTAAGGTAAACATGGAGCTAACCACACTGATATTTCAAAACTATTAAGAAATGAATTGAAGCAAATGGAATACTAACTGTCAGAAATTAAATCATGGTTCGCTGGAATTCTATGTCTGTTAATCAGAATACCACACATGGGCAAGGGCAGAAACATTGTCAATTTATAATCTAAGATCTGTGTGGGAAGAATGGGAAAAGGTATACAAGAGATGTGTATATCCAACCTGTTGTTGGGCACATCAGGTTCCACAAAATGGTGTAAACTGGATTGTGATGAGGTACTCCCTTGGCTGTATTCTTCTATCTTTGTTTTTCACTATTCTTAGGAATTTGTGAGTATAATAATACTAAGAATTGTTCTCTTATTTCTGTAAATTTTTTGTAGTATTCTTTGATATGTATATTTATTTGGCTTTTAAGTTTTTATGTATCTACTAGTGTGTGGCCAGTCCCCTTCTTAAATAATAATATTTGCATAGCCACCAGGATAAAGAACTTGTATTAGTGACACGGGAAATTTTGCATCCCATCTCAGTACCAGGTTACTGTACATATATGTACTACTGTAATCTTTAGTGATAAGATTACATACTATTTTTCCTAAGTATCTCTCCATGCCTCATTCAGGACAGAGATTAGATGGTACTCAGTAAATTAGCAGGAATAAATAAGGAATGAAGTGACTCTTGAGGATCTGTACTTTTTGGGAGGGCTGGGGAACAAATTCTGTTTGCACTTATCAGGATGTTGGTACAAAGTAAATGAGATTTTGTACCAGTGTAACTGAGAGAAGATTTGCATAGGATGGATGTTGTACAGTGAACATTAATAAAGGAGGAATTTGTAAAGAACGAGGTAGGAGACCAGAGGAGTGTGGATGGTGTGCAGTGAATTAGGTAAGCATTCACTCATTGACTAATGAGGATTTAAAAAAGTACCACATACTTTCACTGCCCCTTATCTAACCTATACACTGAATGAGACGGTGGCTCTGCAGGGAAAAAAAGGATGCACTTAGAGTACGTCATAATGCCCATGCAAAAATAAAGTGAACTAAGTTTGCATGAGCAACCTTTTAGCTTTAGTATTTCCTGACTTTGGAGTGTTTCCCTTTGCAGCCTTAACTTTCATTTAACACATGTTTTTGTTGTTCTTTTGGTTTGATGTATTTAATGCCCTTAGAAAATGGTTTGACTTCTTATAGGAGTGTGGAGACAAGCAAAGTCAAATTGAACGGGCCATTAGAGAGAAGCGAGCAGTGGAAGAAGAACTTGAGAAAGTAAGAATGCAGATATTCAGTTTTACACTTTAACTTTTCTTTATTGTATAATATTGTCTTAAGTTTCTATTTCACTATTTTCTCTAATATCATTGAGTTAAATGGGGTGAAAGAATAGACCATATGCTTAGTTTTGTATTTGCTTGTTTTTTGTTTAATTGTAAATCCAGTGATGGAAATTGAAAAAAATACATTTTATATTTCTAATAAATTTTAGAGTTATAGTAGGTGGACTGCAAAAGATGGCTCTTGGAGAATGTTTCTAAATTCCTAACTCGTTATTCAGTATATATTCAGCATAGTCGTATTATCTATGTTCAGGATATGTGTCTAACTGTGTTTATAAAAGCCTTACAACTGTTTTAAAGGTATAAAAACCAAATAGGAGTAAGAAGTGTTTAAAATGGTTCAAAGGGTGTAAATAGATGCAATAATGAAAATTTAAGCAAAAGAAGATTTAGGCTGAGTATCAGAAAAATTAACTAACTGCAAAATCTATAAGACTGTTATCCCAGTAGTAGCAATGGAAGTCCCATTCCTTCAGTTACTGAAAACTGTGATGGAAAATGGAATGGATAACTTAATGTAGGCAGCAATACTACACTGACAGCCATCTGTGTGATAAAATGAAATTTACATGTAAGCCTATCCTTCAGATTTACCGTGAAGGCAGAGGAAGTGAATGTGATTACAGAAAACTGGAGGAACTACACCAAAGATGTCTGATAGCAGAACGTACAAAAGATGACCTTCAGCTGTGTCTACAGGCGGCACAAAACAAAATTAAACAACTGGAAATGAAGTAAGTACAGGAACTCCTCACTTAAAGTTGTCCTAGTTAACGTTGTTTCATTGTTACGTTGCTGATCAATTAGGGAACATGATCATTTAAAGTTGTGCATGCTCCCTTTTAATGTCGTTTGGCAGCCGCCTGCTTTGTCCACTTCTTGCAGTAAGAGCAGCCTGTTGCAGCTAACTGGTGAGTGGTTGAAACCAGGATGGAACGGCAGCCCCCTATCAGCTCCCCGCTCCCTTAAATTTCCTGTGCAGCAGGTGCTCAGCAGGCTATCAATTGCCTGCCGTTCAGCTGTCCCTCCTGCCACTGCAGTGTGCTGCTCCTGCCCTCTGCCTTGGAGCTGCTCACCAAAACTCCTGCTTGTTGGGGGGGAGAAGAAGAGGACTAATGTCAGGGTGTCCCCCTCCCCCTTGCTCCTGCACCCCGCTTACCCCATCTTCCATAGAACAGGGGGGGACACACGGACAGAGGGAGCTGCTGCCTGGTCCCAACTTGCTGGTCTAATTAACAAGGCAGTGTACTTCTGACCCCACTCTTCATACTTAAAGGGGAAATATGCATATCTGTCTCTCAAACACACACTGGGTATGTGTCTGTCTCTGTCTGCCCTCCCTCCTTTCCTGCTGCCTTGTAGAGTGTGAGACTTAACCCTTGAGGGCTCAGCCAATTGCTAGTTCATCATTTAGCAGTAAGGCATTCCCTGGGAAATATCCCACCCTCTGACTCCTCCATCTCAACCAAGCTTCACAATCATCATCACTGTGTACCGGCATTAAATTGTTTGTTTAAAACTTATATATAGGTGAAAAAAATTTCCCTGGAACCTAACCCCCTCATTTACCTTAAGTCTTATGGGGAAATTGGATTCGCTTAACATCGTTTTGCTTAAAGTCGCATTTTTCAGGAACATAACTACAACGTTAAGTGAGGAGTTCCTGTAACCAGTATGACCTACTAATCAGTATTTCATTCAATATTTCCATCTGATCGAAGTAGTCTTGTGTCAAGTGTTTGTATTTTGTCGTAAGTTCTTATTCAGAAGTATGAATAGTAGGTTGTCATAATCATTCTTTTTTTTAAAATATGCAGCATTGGATGATATTATAAGTGAGGACGACATATTTTAGAACTAAACAGATTTTCTTGACCAGATCAGAGCTGAAAGCAGTTCTCTTACAAAGGAAAAAATAGAAACCATTTTTCTGGCTAATAATCCTATTTTAATTGTTAATGTTATCTGCTTGGAAAACCATTTTTTGCAAAATATTCAGAAGAATTCCTATTTTTTAGAGTCAGCATACAGTAGGGTTCTAATTGGTCTATATAATACCGTCTGTGGTTTTGTCCTCCCCAAACCACTGCACAGGACGCCCATACTATTACTGTGGTAGCATCCAAAATGTGCTAGGTACTGGACAAATGTAAGTCTCCACAATCCTTCCCCTAAAAAGTTTATAATCTAAACAGATAGAGTTTGAAGGGTGGAGGAAAGGAATACAATATATCTTGCTGTGCTGTGCTTTGCTTTGCTTGCTTGTGTGTGTTGTGGAAGGTGGGAGTATCTGAAGTTGAAGAAGAGTCAATGAATGGTGGAAAGGGATTCTGGGAGTTAGAGGAGAGTGGGGGAAAGGAACAGGAAGCTGATGGGGAGGAAGGTAGAAATAGGGAAGAGAGGAGAGTGAAGAGCAAGTAGATAGCAGGCAAAATGTGTGAGAATAATGAGATTGGTGCAGTTAGAGGTATGAGGTGGGGGCAAGATGTAGGTGGGACTAACAGAAATAGAGTAAATGAGAGGAAATTATCCAGAGTAGAGCCTTGTGAATAGTCACTTTTTCAGTTTGCTGGCCGAATTAGGGGTGGGTGGAGTTTTGGATGGACCCAAAACAAAAAACCAAGGGGGAAAATTTGTTTTTTTTTTATTTCAAGTATTTTTTTTTTTAATTTAAAGCAAAGATAAGTTGGAAATACCATTCACAAAACCCCGGGAGGTCACAATACAGCCCTTCCCCTTATAGTTAGGGTTGGCAAAACTTGATTTTGATTTTTATTTATAACGTTGACTGATATTGATGTTTACTGTTAAGCATTTTTTCTAATTTGTATCAATTTACATTTGCACAAAATCATATATTTTAAGCATTTTTTGTTTTTATTTAATATTTGACAGTTATGGGAAGTTAGAAGGGGTCAGACAATTATTTAATGACAGTAGACATTGAGATTCATAAAGTAAAGCTTTGTAACTATTAAAACACAAATGGTCAACATCACATGTCAAAATACACAAAGTAAATATCCTCAAATCAAACTCTAATTTCTCAAGCAACATTTTTCTCACTTTGCCTCTCTATAAAGTTTTATTTTTTTTTTTAGTTGGTTTGTGTATGTACAGTGAAATGGATGTTTACTAATTAAAATCTCACCCTTCCAAGTCTACTTATAACCTGTTGTCCCATGGTTAGAGCACTCACCTGGAATGTGGGAAACCCAGGTTCAATTTCCTGCTGTACCTGCTAGGGAGCAGGGATTTGAACTTGCGACTCCCATTTTGTAGGTCAGTGCCCTAACGACTAGGCTAGAGGGAATTCTGGGTTGATCTCTCTCTGTCTCTCCTGTTGAAGCTGTTCTGCTTTCAATAAATAATATTAATTGAGCCAGAGGGAGACTGTATATCCAAGTGATTAAGGCACTCGTCTTGGATGTGGGAGGCCCAAGTTGTTCCAAATCAGGCAGAGTGGGGACTTGAAGCCCACCTGCTCTCCCATATCCCAGGTAAGTGCTGCCCCCACAACAGTATAGAGTATAAGGGAGCACCCCCACCACTGAAGTCAAGTGGCATCTAAGTCCCCTTGAAACTATTCAACAATTTCATGTCAAATCAACAATCAGTTTTGGTCGAGCTGAAGATAAATTTTTCAGCAAATGAACTATTCAGCCAAAAACATTTGCCCTACGATAATCCAGAGTCCAAATTTGAGTTCAATTAATTATTTACTTATGTATTAGTAATTTTTTGTATTATCATAAAAAGAAAAGGAGTACTTGTGGCACCTTAGAGACTAACTCATGCTCAAATAAATTGGTTAGTCTCTAAGGTGCCACAAGTACTCCTTTTCTTTTTGCGAATACAGACTAACACGGCTGTTCCTCTGAAACCTGTATTATCATAGTGGCTAGAAACTTATGCTTGGTGCAGTACAAACATAACAGAAGACAGTCCCCTTCTCCAAGGGCTTAATGCAGGTTTCCTGAACTTTGGCCTCAACTCTGGCTATCCTGTTCCCTTGTGAAGTCCAACCTCCTATATCTCAAACGCAACCATCCTTTTTAATTAATGTAGTTAATTTATCATATGAAGATTTTGTATAGTTAATTTTCCATGGTCATTCAATGCTTGGCCTCTCTGAGGCTGACAAAAAGGAAATTTTAAAATTGAATTAAATATTTTTGTGAATTTTTTTGTGGCTGTTTGTTCCTCTTAGACATAGACATCACACACCCAGTGGAATAAAAATTAATTTCAAAAATATTTGTACTTTTAAATATGAAGCATTAAAAAGAATTCACATGTTCACCCATCCACAAATACATTGATGTTGACAAGCATTATGAATTTTAAAAATAAGTATTTGGCCTTCAAAATACAAAATATAATTAAAGATTCTAATTAAAATGCACACACAAATGATAGGGAAACTTAGAAAAGTGTAGACTGAACTTGACTTAACTCCTGAGTTGATAGTCTAGTGAGATTTGTTTTCCCTTTTCAGCTCCGAGGAAGAGATATCTCGTTGCCAGGAAATGGTTTGCAAGCTGCAAAGCATTCTGGATTCTGAAAGAGAAAACTCTGGCTCTATTAGTGAACAAAGACTAAAACTTCATCAAGAAAATGAACAGCTGCGTAAAGAAGGAGAGGACTTGAGGAAACTGGTCATGGAGGCACAACAAAAAGCTAAATTAAAGGTACTAGCAAAACAGACTAAATAATAAAACATTTCTGGTTATCTAACTTTAACTGGAGCCAAACTAACTACTGATGGCAAACTGGGCTCCAGTGGAGTTATATCTGCTTGTAGCAGTGATTTGATCCCAGATCTCCGAAACAGCAAGATTAACATTAACCACTGTGTTTTCCAGTGTGCTCTGAGGCATCTTCACATGCCAGTTTCTTCCTTTTCCCCTTCTCATGTTAGTTATAAGGACTGCAACATGGTTGGAACAAGCTTGGAGAGTTGGGAGATTTGCAGGTGAAAATGTTTCAGAGAACACAGCTACCAGTTCTGATCTTCAGCCTTCCCTCGTGAACCTTCTGTGGTTCCCCACTGAAGTATCCCAGTTTGACATGACCTGAGGAATTCTGTCAAACTGGGACTTGACTCTGCGGTCTTAACAACTGAAGATGGGAGGTATAGGTCTATGGGGAAGCGGGGATGAATAAGATGGATATGGCTAGAGGCAAAAATATAAAATTCAATGTTTGTGAATATAAAGACAAGAGGGAAAAACTTGTCTGTTTGCAATGGACATTTGGGAATTAGGGAGTTGGCATATGGAGAGCCCATGGAGCTAGTATTGTAGTGAAGACTACTTTATTTTTAACAGCTATGATAATAAAGTCAGTTATAGTCCAAAAGTCACCACCTTCAGAGCACTGCCCTTGATATTCAATGAGAGATCCAGGAAAAAGTATTTAACCTTGGAGAATTTAAAACATTTAAGAGAGAGGTCAATTTGCTGGCAATAAAAAATAAAATTATTGTACACTCTATTTACAAAATTCACCAAATAGTATTACATGGCTGGCTAATTGGATGGAAATCAGAGGAAAACTGCTCAACTTGACTTACGTTTTTTCCTTTGTTTCCTTGGCAATTGATATGTGATCAGCATAACATACTCAGGTATGTGTCATTACATTTTTCAAGAACAAGTGGCTGAGTCTAATTTTCCACATAATATGGAGAACTTTAAAATTTTGTGTTACATGGTAAATTAAGAAAGCATTCCATGTTCATTGGTGCATTTAAAGCTCCTTGTCATAAACTGAGTGGTTAAAGGTATATTGATTGACCAGAGGTAAAATCTCAATCATATGGTTACAATAAACCAAATGAACCTGCCTTGTATATACTTCACTTGTGTGTTTGCTGAAAGGGGAAGAGGATTTATGCACACTTTTCATTACTTTACATTTTAAAAATATAAATCTTGAGTTTGCAGGATGGAAATATTTTACTGACTTAACTAAATCTTATCATTTCTTTGTGTTAGGGGGTTGTTTTATTTATGTGAATAAATGGTGCTAAGATACCACAGTGCTTAATTTTTTAGAATGTACAGACAAATGTTACCAGGTTTTTGGTTTTTTTGAGACTTACAATGTTGCATCAACACACTTAGAGAAAAGAAACTGATTTAAAAAACTTTTAATGGAATACATAAACTTTAAAGGTATACCATCAAATCAAAATAGTTTAACAACAAAAGTTAAAAGCAGTTTCATGTACTTTATCAGCCTTATGCCAATTTTCATGGTTTCATAATCATATTTTCTAGGTTTTAAAAAATATTTCTATCCTTTGTTTCTGTGTGAAAGACGGTGTGGGGTGTAGGAGGACGACTATTTACTCATAAAGTAACAAAACTCAAGAAGTTTTCCCCCTTAATCTTTATTTTATGATAAGTTTCAATGTTACTTCTAACTACAGAAAAGAAAAAAAATCAATAGTCACTACTGGAATAGAAAAGATTCTCTTTAATGTCACATATAACTTACACCTATAAAAAATGAATGAACGTTACATTACACTTTTAGAATTCATGTGCCAGTGGATTTGTTTGGGGGCACAAATGGAAGTAAGTTTTGTTTTTTTAAATAACTCAAAGCCTGAGCTTGTTTTTGTTACAATTTATTTTAATAGTATGAAACTAAGGTTTTTCTATTATCTGTAAGAATTCTAGAATTATAAAATGCCAAAGTAGATGAGGTGCTCCTTTATATTCGTGCAATAAGCAAAATAAATGAGTTTACATTGCTTTTTCAGGTAATATATTCCTATTTATATCTTGTGTATTCAAATAGGATAGTTATGGGGGGGAATGAATCTTCAAAATCTAATGTTGCAATAATAACTTTGAAAATTTGATCTATTTAGGCCATGCCATTCTTACGAAAGAAATGTGATGTAATGATTTAGAATTCTTATTTAATGTTGTATGTAAATTTAAATACAAATATTTATAGGCAATTCTGCAGAAATGAGACACGTCATCCCATTGACCCATTATTTATTTTTATATATAAAAATACTCGTGGAGTTTTTTGATATAGGTAAATTTAGAAAAAATTGTTTCTAAAGCTGTCAATTTGTAGGATTGCACGTGTACATCCTCTACAAAGGAAAAAGGACTGTAAGCGGTCTAAAATCCTACCTGCCACATGGGTACCCCTAACTCACAGTGGTACCCCTAACTCACCCAGCAATATCATCAATCTATCCAGCTACACACTCAGCCCGGCAGAAGAGTCTGTCCTATCTCAGAGACTCTCCTTCTGCCCCGCCACCCCCACAAACATGATACAGTTGTGCGGTGATCTGGAAGCCTACTTTCACCGTCTCCGACTCAAAGAATACTTTCAAGATAACACTGAAAGGCACGCTGATACACAGATACCCTCCCACCAACAACACAAGAAGAAGAACTTGACATGGACTCCTCTTGAGGGTCGAAATGACAGTCTGGACCTATACGTAGGATGCTTCCGCCGACGTGCACAGGCAGAAATTGTGGAAAAACAACATCGCTTGCCTCATAACCTAAGTCGTTCAGAATGCAATGCCATCCACAGCCTCAGAAACAACGCTGACATGATCAAAGAGGCTGATAAAAGGGGTGCTGTTGTCATCATGAAGAGGTCTGACTACCGAAAGGAGGCTGCCAGACAGCTCTCCAATACCAAATTCTACAGGCCACTTTCCTCAGATCCCATTGAGGAATACACTAAGAAACTGCACCATCTACTCTGGACACTCCCTACACTAACACAGGAACAAATCAACATACCCTTAGAGCCCCGACCGGGGATGACATCTTCATCATCTGGACCCATAGGAAGGAAACCCTGGAAGAATTCCACCACGATTTCAATAGCTTCCACCCCACGATCAACCTCAGCCTGGACCAATCTAAACGGGAGGTCCACTTCCTTGACACCATGGTGCACGTAAGTGATGGTCACGTTAACACCACCGTATACCGAAAACCCACTGACTGCTATTCCTACCTTCATGTCTCCAGCTTCCATCCCGGACACACCACACGATCCATTGTCTACAGCCAAGTGCTGAGGTACAACCGCATTTGCTCCAACCCCTCAGACAGAGGCCAACACTACAAGATCTTCACCAAGCATTCTCAAACCTACAGTACCCACACAAGAAAATAAAGAAACGGATCAACAGAGCCAGACATGTACCTAGAAGCCACCTGCTGCAAGACAAGCCCAAGAAAGAAACCAGAACTCCACTGGCCATCACATACAGTCCTCTGCTAAAACCTCTCCAACGTATCATCAGTGATCTACAACCCATCCTGGACAATGATCCCTCACTTTCACTGGCCTTGGAAGGCAGGCCAGTCCTCGCCCACAGACAACCTTCCAACCTGAAGCATAATCTCACTAACAGCTACACACCGCACCATAGTAACTCTAACTCAGGAACCAATCCATGCAACAAACCTTGATGCCAACTCTGCCCACATATCTACACCAGTGACTCCATCCCAGGACCTAACCAGATCAGCCACACCATCACCAGTTCATTCACCAGCACATCCATCAATGTAATATACGCCATCATGTGCCAGCAATGCCCCTCTGCTATGTGCATCGGCCAAACTGGACAGTCCCTACGTAAAAGGATAAATGGACACAAATCCGATATTAGGAATGGCAATATACAGAAACCTGTAGGAGAACACTTCAACCTCTCTAGACACACAATAGCAGATTTAAGGGTAGCCATCCTGCAGCAAAACAACTTCAGGACCAGACTTTAAAGAGAAACTGCTGAGCTTCAGTTCATTTGCAAATTTGACACCATCAGCTCAGGATTAAACAAAGACTGTGAATGGCTAGCCACATACAAAAGCAGTTTCTCCTCCCTTGGTATTCACACCTCAACTGCTAGAAGAGGGCCTCATCCTTCCTGATTGAACTAACCTTGTTATCCCTAGGCTGATTCTTGCTTGCATATTTATACCTGCCTCTGGAAATTTCCACTACATGCATCTGACGAAGTGGGTATTCACCCACGAAAGCTTATGCTCCAATACGTCTGTTAGTCTATAAGGTGCCAGAGGACTGTCTGCCGCATTTTCAACAAGTGTCATTTAAGATCAAAGATACTAACAGAATCAACTGAAAAACATGAGTTGGGGAAGGATGTGTGGAGAGAGTGATTGTTTACACACTAACCCGTCAAATTAAAACTTTGAGTTAACCAATACTTATGTCCACCAGGCTTTTCAAAGTCAGTTTACAGGATATTCACTATACTCCAGGTTGTACATTCAGACTATGGACTCCTCAAAGCCAGCAAGATGGCTTTCTTGTTCATCTGAAATCCGATGTATCAATAGGCTAAATGTATATTCAACATAATTGGTTATCTAACCTTTGTTGCTGTATTTGCTTGTGTAAGGACCTGGCACTCTGTGTGTACAATTGTACACCTAAACAAGGTCTCAGTTAAGCACACAACTGAGCCTGCACAGTTACTTAGTATTTGAATTTTAGTAGTTCTTGAATTTTAGAAGTTCTCACAATGTGATAGGTGCTTTCCAAACATACAAGATGTAAGCCCTTCCCCAGAGAGCTCAACTTCTTAGAATACAAGTAGTTTACAGAATTCAGGGAAGAAGGATAAAGCATATATTCAATTTATAAAAACAATAGTAATCAGAATCTTCACTACGTTTATCGACATTTGTCCTAGATTTTAAATGGATTTTATGAGCATATTTCTGTATGCACATTTAACGTGAATGTTTTGGGGGTTTTTATTCTTGGATTAAAGTTGCAAACTTCTATTGTCTGATTGTGGCCTATTGTGGTGTTTATTTTTTGTTTTTGTTTTTACTGTAGATAAGCACAATGGAACATGAGCATTCAGTGAAGGAGCATGGGTTTGAGGTTCGACTGAAAGAGATGGAAGTCACTAATCGAAATTCCACTGTTGAACTGAGACGTTTGTTGGTGGCTCAGCAAAAAGCAACAAACCGGTGGAAGGAAGAAACAAAGAAGCTTACAGAAACTACAGAAACCAGGATCAATAATCTGAAGTAAGTGCAATCAGTCTTTATACGTTGCCAAACAGACAATACTGTGTGTGTTTTTGACCTTTTGTAATGGCAAAAAAAGTAGTTCCAATATGTCACTTTATTTTAATACTGTTTTTTAAGTAAACTTCACTCATTTTAGAAAACTTAACTTTGGCTTATGAAAACACCTATATTTACAGTTCTTCAAGGTACCCTCTGTATATTCACAGTTGTGGGATGAATCATGGAATTTCAGGAACATTCTGAAAACATGGCCTGTTGGAGCTGCATGAGTCTCTCTTATGACACCAGATGCTCTGAGATGAGGTTATAAAAGAGCCATATGACCTTTGTCATCTCAGTTCCTTTCTTTCTTGGCTAGATTTTGTTATTAGGGACCTTGCTCCATATTAAGAGAAACTTTTATGTTAAACAGTATCCCAGTTGGTGTTGCCTAGTTTTCATTATTACACTCTTTGTTTTTTGCTGGACCAGGGTCCTGGAGTCTCTTTGGCCATAGCCAGTCTCTGGGTCCTTCTCCACCATCTTTGGCTTATGCAGGATCTTTAATACCATCACTGGAGTGTATGGTCATACCTCTAAGGTGTGTCTGTCTACACTGCAGTTAAACACCTGCAGCTGGCCCATGTAAGCTGGCTTGAGCTCACAAGGCTCAAGCTAAAGGGCTGCTTAATTGTGGGGTAGGCAAGTGGGCTTGCCTAATTAAAGGGCCTCTTAGCCTGAGCCCCAAAAGCCTGGGTCAGCCACAGGTATTTAATTGCAATGTAGACATATGCTGTGTGCACACTCTTCTGGGGAAAGCTCTCTTAGTCCAGTGCTCTTGGAATTGGGTGTCAGGGATGAGTCTCCATTTAGGCTTCATTTCCTCCAGATGTTCTTCTTTGCCTCAGCGCCACGTGAGTTGGGCTGAAAGGCTCATTGGCGCACACCTCAAAGCAAGAGTGTGTTAATGTCCCAGGGCACTCGTTCTCTTCCAGGCCCCCTTTCCTTGGCCTCCCTTTAGTCCACAGACTGCTTCTCCTTATTGGCAGGGTTCTGCTAAACCTAGCAACCAAATGTAGCATGAGAAGAAAACGACATATCTCCTGTATATAGTGGTTTCTGAAGTTGTGCAAATAGCAGCTCTGCTGTTCTATTTCTTCTCATCGGTATATATATTAAATAGTTCTTTGAGTGATGGTCCCTATGTGTATTCCAAATGCGGGCATGTGTGCGTACCATGCTCCTGAATTCAGAGATATTTAGCAAGCAGTATCCATTGGTCTGCACATACGTAGTTGTTCTTCTTGTGCTCTGAACTGAGAGTATGACGGAAAGTGCACACTGGCACCTTTCCAGTTCCTTCTACTGCTTCATGGTCGGAGTCAGAATATTCTGTGTCCACAGCTTCTTCCTTCGACTGTTTTAGTCTGTAAATATATTGTAAATAGTTTATTTTATATTTTTACTCTTTTAGTCTTAAGTCCTGGCATAGTTCGTTATTTTCCCTGGGAGGATAGGCTTATGCCTAGAGTCCTGGGATACAAGCATTGCATTTCCTGCCCCCTCTCCTTTTCAGTGAATGAGAAACACCAGTGCTGCCTTTATTGTCTACCCCAGGCTCACATCTCAGCTAAGTGTAGTATTTGCCACCACTTCCTTCCAAGAACTTGAGGGTTGAGAGCTAAGACATAAAATATCTGGAGGAGGAGGCCATGAGACCCCAATCAGACCTGGGCCAGGGAGTGCCCCTCCAAGTATGAACTCAGGAGTCAAGACTAAGACTTCCAAACCTAAGGAGATGATTTCTCATGAGAGTAAAGGGCACTCTCACAAACATAGAGACAAACCCTCTTTTTTTCCAAAGCTGCCCCAAAGAAAAGAGATTCTCCCTGACTTCTTCAAAGTCGGAAGAATCCTTGTGCATGGATCCTAAAGATTTAAGCCCAAGTAAACCACCTCAACAGGAAAAAGTGGTACAAAGGAGCATGGATCTGTCAGCTCTGGTACCGGTTCTGACATGCAAACTGAAAGACACACATCCACTGCCACTCCCTTTGATGTAGAGATTACACTTTGGGCTAATATCGTCATGGCCGCAGACAGATCAGGCTTCCACTGTGGCTAGGGAAGCACCAGATCCAACAGCTCTACCAATTGACCTACCCCATACCCTGGGGCAGTCTGAGAACTACATCTCCCCAGATGACATTTTTACTCTTCTCTATCCTCCTTCCCCTTCCTCTCGTCTGTCTTTATTCAAAGACATAGTTACTCTGGAGGACATGGAGTTGCTCTCGTCTCCCACCTGCAAGCCTCAGTACCCTACCGGTTCGCCAGTAGTTCGGGTTCCAGTTTTTTCATTCAGTGAGTCAGTCTCTCCAAAAGAGCTTCTACCCTCCCATAGAGAAAGAGGCCCAGACAGAAGCCCTAAGAGATCAGAGTTCCATTCTCTGACCAGATATAACTTTCCAAGAGACTGGTGATACCCTCTCAAGAGGTCCTCCTCATACAGGCAGTATTGGATCCCTTAGGATCCTTATGCTAGGCACCCAGAATCAGACCATGAACCTTACTTACCATGTCCTTGCCAAGATCAGCCAGCCCCTTTGGAGTATATGGAAGATAAAGCTAAACCAGATCCAGTGGTTCTGGGAGTGATTTCATCCTCTTTCCCAAATGAGGCTGTTTCCCCATCTTTACTAGCGCAGCCTGATGGCTACAGGCAACATCAGGGTACCTACAAAGGATTGTATTTGAGTTTCAGATACAGCTTGAACTCCTAAGATCTTCACCTCACACTCGAGTGCCTACGTATGTTAATTTAAATAAAAATGACAAGTGAATTGATCAGTTCAGCAGACAAACATATCAGACTGTCTCCATTTATCCTGATCTGATTCTTCAGCTTGTGGTGTTTTCATCCCCAGGGACACGTGGCATGTTTTTTTAGATTTAAAGTCCATAGACAAGTAGAGACTGTAGGTAGACAAGTAGAGACTGTTTGAATAGTGCTCTTTAGTTATTGTGTATTAGTGCATGCAGTCAATCCTAATAACACAGACATAAAACAAAATATACTAGGCAGTGTTTTCAATGTGGATAAAGTGCATTCATTTTTCACATCACAAAAAGAATTAGTTTGTATGCATGTACACTAATGTGAGAAAGTTAAAATGTCATTTTTATAGCTATATTCATTTTCCAAAATGCAAGATGTACTCAAGTATACGCACATGCTAATGTGATTCCTTATCAGGAAGATGATAAACAAATTTCAAATGTAAGTTTAAAAAAAGGAAAGATTTTTGCTCTTACAGGTATTGTGAAATGTAAAACATTTTCATTTAAGAGGTTGTTAAAAAGGAAATATTAAAAGTTCACAAGCTTGGTTTTTTAAACCTCGGATTAATCGATAGACTTGTCACATATAATTATTTTTAACAGATTACATGTCCTAAAATGAACCATAATGCCCCTGATGTTCTCTTTGTAGTAGATAACTGGTGAATTTTTTGAAGCATAACTTTTATTTGTAAATCTCATTCAACCTTTTCAGCTGTCAGAAACAGAATGCTCTTAGTCTGAGTTGGAGCTGAGCCCAGGTCTCCAACTGGAACAGGGAAAATAACCTCTGAAGTTTGTGTCCTACAATAACTGTACATTGCTGCTAACACACATACTGTTTGTTTCTCTTTCTAGAGAAGAAAGCAAACTTGTCTTGTAAATGCCATTAGTTTGTGTAAAGTACAGGAAAGCCATCTCTGACCCGCATTAACACTGACAATGTTTGGCAGCATAACTCTGTTCCAAAGCTATTTCTGTTTAACAGGAGCTAAGTTAACTTTTTCCTGCTGTACTTAGCAGGAATTGTATCTGAGATAGCAGCTGGGAATAGAGAAGGCTTTGGAGACTGGCCAATAAGCAGTCGAAGGGCGAGTGAGGATCAGAGCATGTCATGGATGAGGAAGGAAGACAGCAGAAGGGGAAGGGTTAAATGGCCAAATATTGTACATTAAGGAGGAAAAGCAATGTATCTGTGGGAGGAGAATTGTTGATAAGCGGGAGGGAGAGGATGATGGATAGAAAAAGATTTGTGCCTGGTTTTGATGAGAAGAGATATAAATAGGCTAATGAGAGGATGGAACAAGACACACTAAAAATGTACTTAATCATTAGTATTGACTGTGTTTCAGGGTTTTAGCGATGTAGTGAATGACCAATAGTATCATAGACAATAGAAACTGAAAAGATATTTAACTATATTTTAGCCCTGATTCTCCACTGTCCTGCACCTGAGTAGTTATTTACACCCTACAGAGTGGGTTAGATTTTTCTCCCTTATCTTTATTATAATAGTCTTAGTGGGTAAAATATTTTAAATAGCAGTGCGATTGTTTTTTTTTTCCTCTTAGATGACATTGTCTCTTTACACATCTAGGATGTGTGTTTTGAAAATAGCTTACTGTGACTTTAAACTTCAGTGAAATTTGAATTTTTCAAAAGCATCCTGCTTAAATGGTGGGCAAAGTTTTAATAGAACATGTTCACCACCTAACGTTAATCATTATCTTCCCTGAGTGTGGCTGATCATCTTGGGTCTTCTACTGTTTAAACTACTGTTGACTTGAATTGAAGCAAGATTGTGCCCCTTATTTAATACATATTCATGGTATGAAACATCTCCGCATAGCCAGATTTACAACACTGAATTTTAAATTTCACTTTAGATGACCAGTTACTGTGAACAGATACTTTTAGAGAGCTGCTAAAGTTTAGGAAATGAAGCAACTTCCACAATCTGTTTAGAAGACTTGCAGTGATTTCTGAGAGATTAAAATTGTTGCTGATGCTACACAACTACAAGATTTAGTGTTGCCAAAAACTTTTCATATAGGTTCAGCCCTAGAGATGGCAGGCTGAATGCTGATCCAAATAGTTTGATTTTTAGAATAGCTATCCAGGGGAGAGCTTTATGAACTCTTTTAAAGCCACCATATACGCTATTTAGCAAAGATTTC